TTCGGCGCGGTCCCCCTGTCACTTCCTTACTCAATGGTAGTCAACAGCCATATTACTGTTGGCGCACTAACTAAAGTGTCCACATTTCAGTGAGCAAGGGGAATAAGCCAAGAAATAAAACTACACGCCAGCTAAGTCAGTCTCCTTTTTAAGGAGCTCACTGGCGCTGGTTTACGTAGCATCTGTCATTTGCCCCGTTCTAGTCACACTGCCATCCCACTGTAAGGAAGGCCGAGGAAAGTCCACGGAAGACAACCGGCCACCTCCCAGAACGCAGGGCTCACAGAGCAAGGCCAGGGAGAAAGCGGGCGTTGGCTCAACCACCGCCGGACAGACTCTCTGTTTCCCTGGGGCAAGTGATGAACCCGCCGTCACTTAGATGTTTTCGCTGCTTGAAGTGCCACACACAACAAGAAGTAGTCACAGGTGGATTTGCCAATGGCACATGATGGGATTTGGCAGCAAAGCTATGGATAGTAACTTCCTCTTGCATAGATGGCCAAGTCCAATGTAGGTGTTGCAAATGCAACTCAAAATCATCATCGGCGGAAGGGTCTGAGTGACGCTCTGAGTCCGTGGCCCCGGGCAGAGAAGCAGGTGGTCCCATTGCGGAGGCTGGTCACAGCCTCTCAAAGCGACGAACTCACACCGGTTTTCATTGCTTCACCAAGCTGAAGGGCCTGTTTGGCCCCAGTGTGATCAGAGCTTTCTGCGGTGCAGCTTATTTCTTTTTAAAAATATTTTTAAAAATATATTGATTTGAGAGAGAGAGAGAGAGAGAGAGAGAAACATTGATTTTGTTGTTCCTCTTCTGCATTCACTGGTTGATTCTTATATGTGCTCTGGCTGGGGATTGAACCTGTAACTTTGGCTATCGGGACGACGCTTTAACCAACTGAGCTACCTGGCCAAGGCTGGATGGAAATTTTTTTAAAAGATCACCTTGGTTGTTAGTGTGGGGAAAATGTAACCAAAAGTGAAAACAGAGTAGCGATTCAAGTGACAGGATTCTGATATACAGGCAATGGGAAGAAATATGTAGAAACAAATTATACTTCAGAGGTAGGTCTCCTAGGATTTCCTGATTAGTTAGGTAGAGGGCAGAGAAAAAGAAGGAATCCCTCGATCAGAAATAAACAGACTAAAAAGTGAGCAGGCTCTGGAGTGAGTAGCTCAGGGGTCAGAGGCGCATTTGACTGAAATAAAAAGCACGTCACCCACCGCCCCACAGGGACCTGGAAGTCTGTCCGTGCTTGTCCCTGATCAGTCTTCGCGGGTGTAAAGCCTCCTAGTGCTTCAGCCAGTGAGCGTTTTGCAACACAGAACATATGACAGAATGGTCCCTGTGAAGTCACAGCAATGACCCAGGCCAGGGACGGAAGCTGGGAGCGCCCTCCGCCCAGGTTCCTGGGGGCAGCGAGGCGGCCCGTTTCCCCGCTGACTGGCCTGCAGCCTCCAGCGCTGCCATCACAGAGAAACAGCTGGCACGGACGAACAGCGCTCTGGTTTTGAACTTGGAAACATACATTTCTTTTAAAGAAAAATTATTTTTACTGATTACACAGAGAGAGAGAAACTTCAGTTTATTGTTCTACTTACTGATGCATTCATTGGTTGCTTCTTGCATGTGCCCGAACCCGGATCGAACCCCCAGCCTCGGGGGATCGGGACGACGCTCCAGCCACCTGAGCTACCGGGCCAGGCGGCTCGTTTCTGATTTGAGCGCCCAGCACGCACCGCCCACCCGCTCAGAGCTCCTCGTGTCCAGTGACTCCGCCCTTCTTCAGAGCCCAGGGGCTTTTTTTTGTTGACTCTGAAGTTTTTTCTCGGTTCTAGGGTTTGATTTCAAACCATAATACAAAATGGTAATAGAAGATAGTTTCCAAAGCACGCATGTGGACGTATTTCTCTGCAGTTTTAGAGCCGCCTGCACTTGACATAGTAAACACCTTAATGTGGTTAGTTGCCCAATACGATGTGGTCTCCTGCCTTGAATCGTGTTCCCTTTCCACGTACAGAACCATGACTATTTCAATCCTTCATCGTTTCAAGGAGGATAATTTGTGTTCATTCTTTAAAGCCAATTTTACAATAGTACCTACTCTTTTGTGAAACACTCCTTTCCCTCTTGGAAATGTTTGAAGTTCCTTTTGTGTCATTGAATATGTGTCTTCAATGTCTTGAAGAACACTCGTCACATTTTCACTATTTTTATGTCTTCAGCTATGTACTTAACCTATTCAATACAAACTTTGGTACAGCAAAGACCTAACACAGTGCATGGTAAGTATTGGGAAAACGTACCTCAAGTGTCATCAGAAAAAAAATGTACATAAATTATACACATGTATTATAATATTTGTATATATATTACATATTATAAAACATTACATGCATGTATTATGTATGTGTATATAAACAATCCTTCAATTGTTTCTTTTTTCAGATTTTATTTATTTACTTTTAGAGACAGGAAAAGGTTGGAAAAAAGAGAGGGAGAGAAACATCAATGTGAGAAACACCGATCGGTTGTCTCTCTATGCACCCCCAGTGGGGACTGAACACACAACCCAGGCATGTGCCCCGACCAAGAATCAGAGAGGTGACCTTTCACTTTGTGGAACGACGCCCAGCCAACTGAACCACACTGGTCAGGGCTTTGATTCTTTCTTTCTTTCCTTCAAGGAGTGTTTTATGGCTTGTTTTTTTGGGGAGGGAGGGAAGGGAGGGAGAAAGAGAGGGAGGGAAACATCAATGTGTGGTTGCATCTCACACGGCCCCTACTGGGGACCTGGCCTGCAACCCAGGCATGTGCCCTGACTGGGAATCAAACCAGTGACCCTTTGGTTCGCAGGCTGGGGCTCAATCCACTGAGCTACACCAGCCAGGGCAGGGCTTCATTTGTTTCTTCAACAGCAAAATAGATGCAGACTCACTCTGCCATCGTATAGGTTTACCGTGTGGCATAAAACCCGTGCAATTCACCTGACTTCCTGTTTTTACAAGAGGGAGAGCTCCTATTACTCAGATCAAACTTCAAATGGAAGTATATATTATTTAAATGTCAAAATCATTGTGTGTGCATATCTTTGACTCAAGCAAACAAAAAGCAATTCAGCCTTTAAAACCTAACAATTCTAACTTGTAAAAGGATCAACCATAAGGCGATTTATGGTTATGTTGGTTAATCAAGATCTGTCTTGAATATCAGGAGGTCTGGCTGGTAGACAATTAGAGCTGAACATTAATTACAGAATCATGTGACATAATGACCTTTGTTACACAGTCACAAAAATGAAGGCCAATGATGTGTCTTTAGGAAGAAAGAATAATGTTGCGTTTGGTCCTGGAAAATACAAATTGTGTCAAACAAAAAACAAACCATAGCAAGACTTTGTCTTTCATATCTTTTATTTTCTGTATGAAAAGTTTCCAAGGCTTAACGTATTAACTTCCCAGAGCGATGTCAAGATAACCTGATTTGTATTAGACGTGATCCGAGGGCACACATCGAGAGCAATTAAGGTAGAAGTATAAACACCAAATAGTTTAAAAGAAAATATAAACACATCCTTTGACCAAACTGAAGGAAGAACACAGGTGTGCTTTGCTACACACTTGATGTCATTTTTCCAAATACTGAATGTTGACGGGCACTGCAAACCTTCATCGTCCTTAAGGTTCCATTTATTAACTGGTCAGCATCGGACGATAAAGGAGCCAATGCCCAAATCGGATGCATTTCTAGAACGACATTTTAAAGGTCACAGCCGCTCACCCAGATTCTGTGCACAAAGGCTCCTTTTTCTCCACACTCTTGCCAGCCCCTGCCATCTCTTGTCTTTTTGACAATAGCCACCCTCACGGGTGTGAGGCGATGTCTCTCTGTGGCTTTGATGGGCATTTCCCTGATGATTAGTGAGGCCGAGCACCTTTTCATGGTCCTCGTAGCCATTTGCATGTCTTCTTTGGAAAAATGTTTGTTCAGGTCCTTTGTCTGCTTTTAAATTGGGTTATTGGTTTTTTCATAAGATGATTCCTAAGCAGGTAAGAACAAGCACCATGCCATGTCAACACACAACTCCTATAAAAGCAAGTCAAGGAGTCTGTTTCTCTTCCCAACGGGCAATAAATTGACGATGCTGAAGACACGCGAGGACCACCTTACATCAGGATGAAAGTTCTCGTTTTGACTCTCGTATGAGGCACGGTCTGTATTGCCCTCAAGTTAAGTGATTTAGAAGATAAAATGGATTTGAGTGACCAATTCTTGAATTTTAAAGTGGTACTGTTTATATTTTTAAGATGTTATTTATTGATTTATTTTCAGAGAGAGGGGAAGGGAGTGGGAAAGAGACAGAGAGACACAGGGATGGGTTGCCTCTTGCACAACTCCGACTGGGGACCTGAGCCAGAACCTGGTCACATGCCCCGACTGGGAATCAAACCCATGAGCTTTCACTTTGTGGGATGATGCTCAACCCACATACTTAGCCACGCCAGTCAGGGCAGGGTGGTACTGTTGAAGTGTCTGTGGTCCTTAGTGTGTGCATGCGTGTGAGTGTGGTGTTGGTATACCATCCGAGCTTTACCTTGACTGGCCTCCGTGGCAAAAATCAAGCGCCAGAATTGTAAATGCATTCAGCCCAGCAAGTGATGGCCAAGTTTAAACTCTTAGCCATTAACCTCCAATTCTCCATCTTACACGCAAATATAGAATTTGGCTTGATTTTATAATCCTTGCTGTACTTTTAGCTTTGCCCCTGAGAAATGCAATGACATCAGAAGCCTTTATTATCTGACACTCGGTGTGTTTGGCTTTTTCTTTCATTAAAAAAACGCATGCACAGAGCAAAGTGTTCCCTGCTCTGACTCATGTGGATGTTCTTTTCAGTTTACCAAAAACCGGAGAACCATTTACTTGGCTGTCAACAATGAAAACAAGATAAGTGAACATGGGCCACTAAGAATTTACATCCATATATTGGATGAACTAGACCATGGAGACCTCAGAATCAGCTTCTGTCTCAGGTGGGTACCTAATGGCGGAGAGCGAAAGGTGGAGAAACCAAGAAGAGGAAAAAACCTGCCTCCATGCAGGTCAGGAAATACAAGGGAAATGGCATTTGGGTCGAGGGTCTTATTTTTCAGACAAAGAGTAAGCACTGTGTGAAGGACAAACATGTGCAAAGATGCCAAAATGGGAAATAACACTAAACACACACACACACACACACACACACACCACACACCATATTTTGCCATGTATAATGCACACCCGTGTTTTTGGCCTCAATTTTCAGGGGACAAAAGTGTTTGTTTTAATTTTTTAATTCAAATTTTTATTTATTTATATTTAGAAACAAAACCACTTATCGTATTTCAGGGTATTATTTTGGCATTCAGATATCATTACTGCTTTCTGGAGTTACCTTTTTAATGCAAAAGCATAAAACATGAAAAACATTTCTATAGATAAATGATGTCTATTGGCCATCTGTATGTCCTCTCTTTTTTAAAAAAGGTTTTATTTATTTATTTTTAGAGAGCGAGGAAGGAAAGAAGAAAGAGAAGGAGAGAAACATCGATCAGTTGCCCCTCATATGTGCCCGGACCCAGGATTGAACACACAACCCAGGCATGTGCCCTGATCGGGAATCCAACCAGAGACCTTTTGCTTTTGCTTTGCTGGGTGATGCCCCCAACCAACAAAGCCACACCTGTCAAGGCCATATGTCCTTTTGGAGAAGTGTCTATTCTGGTCCTCAGCCCACTTTTTAATTGGATGGTTTGGGATTTTTTTGGCGTTGAGTTGTCTGAGTTCTTCATAAATTTTAGACATTAACCTGCATTAGATATGCCACGTGACTATCTTCTCCCATGCAGTTGGCTGTCTTCTCATTTCGTTGAAGACCAAGTGATTGATTATTCCCTGGACTTCCAACTCACCAGCTGTACATTAGAGGTTCCATTAATTTGTTAGAGCAGCTCACAGAACTCAGAGCACGTGTTACTCACTAGATCTCATGTTTATTATAAAAGGCTATGAGCCCTGGGTGGTGTGGCTCAGTGGATTGAGTGCCAGGCTGCAAAACAAAGAGCTGCAGGTTCGATTCCCAGTCAGGGCACATGCCTGGCTTGTGGGCAGATCCCCAGCAGGGGGGCGTGCGAGAGGCAACCGGTTGATGTTTCACAATTCGATGTTTCTCTCTCCCTCCTTTCCCCTTTCTTTATAAATAAATTAAAAAAAAATTTTTTAAAGGATATGACAGGCATCGCCAGATGGGAGATGCAGAGGGCCAGATGCGGAAGGGGCTTCGCGCTGCCACGCCCGCTCCCCACATCTCCGCACGCTCACCCGCCAGGGAGCTCTCGGAACCCTGTCCTGGGGCGGGGGGCGGGGGGAGGGGTTCTGGCGGCTTCATTACGTAGGCACCATTGACTAAGTCACTGGCTGTAGGCGACTGATTCAACCTCCAGGTCCTAACCCCTTCCAGGAGTCTGGGAGGAGGAGGAGGATGCAAATTCCAACCTCCATTCACAGGGCTGGTTCCCTGGCAACCAGCCCCCATCCTTAGGTTACTAAGAGCGTTCCGAAAAATCACCTCATTAACACAACAAAAGACACCTTCGGGGTTCTGTGTCTTCAGTTCTTGCCTTGCTGGCAAGAGAAGAATCCAGGCGAGAGACAACCGCATAGAGTAGAAAGGAGACAGCAGGTTTATTTGTGAAACGCACAGGAGCGCGAAGCTGTGAGCAGGCGCCCCCGGGCTGGTCTGGATGCCTCCGTATAGAGAAGCAAGTTGTTCGTTTGTTAATAGGTTTGCTCTACGCACCTACGCAACTGGGGTTCAGGGAAACCTAGTCAGCTTCTAGGTTCCCCCTCCTTCTCCCCTCTCCAGATTTTGGGGTTAATACACAATCTCAGAGGCTTTTTTCAGCTCGTGGAGACAATAGCACCGAGCTTCAAGGGCTCCTCTCTTCCTGAGCTATCGCGGTTTTGCTCGTGATGTTCCGGGCACCCGGCAATCTTACCGGACCAGACTTAGGACCGCTGACTCAGCGGGCGACACACGTCTCCCTTTTGCTTCTGGCCTCCTGTCCTAAGTCCTTCATTCATTCCCCCTCCAGCCACTCACTCCTGGCGGCTCTGGGCCAGGAACCAAGCAGACGCGGTGCGGCAGAAGCCGCGCCTGCTTGAGTGTGGTTGGTGGGGTAATAATGTGGGTATAATAGTTTATAGTTTTAATTTGAACATTCCACCTAAACTATCATATCGTGTGCTTGAGTGTGATATTATGTTGCCAAGTTACATGCGTATGATTTTGTAATAAAAGAGTTTGTAATAAAAAACCGGCGTTATTTGTGCCAGACCCTGTATATTTCTTATAAATCACATCTCGCCCTGGAGCGTCCGGAAAGAACCAGCGCTTGATGTCTATCCCGTGAGGTCCATGTCAGACTTCTGACCTCTGGGAGTGCAGGAGAGTAAATCTGTATGCCACTAAAGCCACTGCATTTGTAGTGCTGTGTTAATTTACGAGGGCCCATACCGAAAAATAAAACAGCCATGATGCATAAAGCAAGATCAGTTACTATACATATAAAAGGAGAAAAGCCTTGGAATGTCATGCTGAAGGAGAAAACCCAGAGGGAACTTTTTGCTTCTTCATTTTGCATTTCATTTTCAAAGTGGAGCAGCGTCAAATCAAGAGATGGAGCCACATGCTGGTACAGAGTCATTTTTCATTTCTCAGAGGACACTCAGTCACTACAGAGCAGAATCACAGGACCTGTCCCATTTGTGACTTCTCGCGCCATCTCCCTATTTTGGCGAGGAAAACCTTTCCTCGTCCTCTAACGTTCAGTCTGGGGCCTGTGAATTAAACCAACAGAAGTCCATTAACAGCAGAAAAGGCACATAATTTATATTAATAGTTACAGCCTCAGGAGCTCACAGACAAGAAGTAAAACTCAAAGAAACAGTTGGACACTGGGGCTTATACACCCTTTTTTTTTTATAAGATTTCATTTATTTTTAGAGAAAGGGGAAAAGAAGGAGAGAAACATCCATGTGAGAAATATCGATCGGCTGCCTTTCATATGTGCCCCAACTCAGGCCTGTGCCCTGACCAGGAATCGAACTGGCAACCCTTTGCTTTGCAGGATGACACTCAACCACCTGAGCCATGCCAGTCACGTATTATGTATCCTCTTAACAAAGGAAAGAGGATTTGGGCTTCAAGGGACAATAAATAGGGAGGGAGGCCCTGGCCAGTTTGCTCAGTTGGTTGGAGCATTTTCCTGTAAACCAAAAAACAACAAAAAAAAAAAGGTTGTGGGTTCGATCCCCAGTCAGGCACATACAAGAATCAGCCAATGAATGCATCAATAAGTGGAAAAACAAATCAATCTCTCTCTCCCCCCCCTTCCTCTTTCTCTCTAAAATCAATTTTAAAACTAACTGAAATTAGTTCTCTCATGGTTCTGAAGTCCAGAAACCCAAAGCCAGTTTCTAGGAATTGACTACTCTCCTCCAAAACTCCTCATGTTACCTCACTTCTACCAAGCCTTCGACCAGCCACACGACCCTTTAGGAACTACCCGGGAATCCATGTAGAACTTCGAATTCAGGCACTTTCTCCTCACACAAAGTATAGAAAATCCTACAAAACAGCTAGCCCAGTGAGAGGACTTCCCATCAACATCTTCCCTCAAGGTCATCCCTGGGCAGGACAGTACACAATGACCCGAATTTTCTAACCCTAGCCTGCTCTGCAGACCCTCGCTTCTCCCATCGCTGTTAAGCGGTGGACAGGGAACTGTTCTCCATGACGCCATAGCTGTGGGTTTAGTTGGTCGCACCAGAGCAGAAGGAATAAGTAAGGTGTGTCACCTGACAATACAACTGACCCAGGTCAAGATATACACAAGTTCCAGAGAGTGTCCGAAGTTACGGCTTCTGCACATATAACCCGATGAGCGTTTCCGTCGTCCACCACTAGAGGTCGCAGGAGGAATATTCTTTAACCCTCTGAGCGCAGCCGGGAACCCAGGCTTGGGTTGCTCTGCTTAAATCCCTTGAACGCTCCAGTTTTAACTCGGGGTTCCTGTGAAGGGCTTATGCGCAGGTAGTTTACCTGGGGAAGAAGTCAGAGGGAACAGATGTCAGGGGACTGGCAAAAATTAAGTAGGGAAGAAGGAAAAGTTAATCCAAGACTGGAATATTGAATTGGTGCTTTAATAGCTTGAAATAGTTTCGTGGCGTCTTTTGAGGAACCGCCTAGAATGTTCTCAGAATTGTCCCAATACAGGACAGAAATCTGGGGCTTTTACTCTGACTCCCTGGCTCCAAACACCCTGCAGGGGTCTACGACTACCGACAGACTTTCAGGGGTGTCCAGCCTGCAGCCCAGAATGGCTATGAAGGAGGCCCAACACAAAATCATAAATTTACCTAAAAACTTTTTTTTGTTTTTGCTCATCAATTTTCGCTTTTGATTGTGCATTTGATGCGTGGCCCAAGATAACTCTTCTTCTAGTGTGGCCCAGAGACGCCAAGAGGTTGGACACCCCGGGCTGTATTCCTTCTCACTTTCAGGTTTGCGCACGCACCAAAAGAACGGCCACATGGGTGCCCACAGGTGTCTACCTTCATGCCAAGCCCAACCAAGTCTGGGGTCAAAATGAGATTAAAAGCATTCTTATAACCCTGGCTGGTATGGCTCAGTGGACTGAGCGCTGGCCTGCGAAACCGAAAGGTGGCTGGTTCAATTCCTGGTCAAGGGACATGCCAGGGTTGCAGGGCAGGTCCCCAGTTGGGGGAGGGCAAGGCAACAATTGATGTTTCTCGCTCTCTCTTTTTCCCTCCTTTCCTTCTCTCTAAAAATAAATTTTAAAATTAAAAAGTCTGTCCTGGCTGGTGTAGCTCAGTGGATTGAGCACTGGCCTGCGAACTGAAAGGTCACTGGTTTGATTCCCAGTCAGGACACATGCCTGAGTTGCGGGCCAGGTCCCCAGCTGGGGACGTGTGAGAGGCAACCAATCAGTGTTTCTCTC